ATCTGCTTTACCAGATTTATCTTCACAACATAACTTCTCATTGTTTGCCATGGGAGTTGTAGCAGACTTGCAATTGCTCATATGAAATTTCTTGAGTAAATCATCAATATATTTTTCTTGAGAAAAAAAATCTCACCTTGATGCTACTTTACTTGAATTCCAAGAAAATATTTCATGAGACCCAAATCCGTCTTTTCAAAATTTTTCATCATGCTTTGTTTGAATTCTTCCAGCATTTCTGAGTTAGTCCCAAAATAGATTAGATCATCAACATATAAACAAACAACAAGGAAATTTGTACCTTCCTTCTTTACATGGAGAGATGATTCACTGCAACTTTTCTGAAATCCATTCTGGCAGAAATATCCAACGATTTTGTTGTTCCATGCACGAGGCGCTTGCTTTAATCCGTACAAGGCCTTATGGAGTCGATAAACTTTCTCCTCCTTTCCATGAACAATATATCCTTGTGGCTGCTCTACGTATACTTCTTCTTCCAGCTCGCTATTTAAGAAAGCAGATTTGACATCCAATTGAAACACATTCAATTGTAACTGGGCTGCTAAAGCAAGAATAGTTCTTATTGCCTCCATGCGAGCTACTGGTGCAAAAGTCTCGTTAAAGTTGACACCAGGCTATTGGGAATAGCCTTTTGCCACTAGACGAGCTTTGTGCTTCTAAATGGAACTATCTTCTTTAAATTTGGTCTTAAAGACTCATTTTAAGCGAATCGCTTCTTTTCCTGGTGGCAAGTATTGAAGCTCCCATGTCTTAGTTCTTTCGATGCTGGCCATTTCTTTATCCATAGGTTTGATCCAAACTTCTTCTTTTGCTGCCTCATCAAAATTTTGTGGCTCACAAGCAAACATTGCAAAATGTTCACTTGAAGCATAAATATCTTGCAAAGAACGCATTCTTCTTGGGGGATATTCCGAGCTTTCTTGATTTGAAGTAGCTTCAACTGGCGATCTCGTAGGAGTTGAAGGAGAACTTCTTGGTGATCTCAAATTCTGAAAGTCTTGTTGGCTATCAAGCTCTTGAATATCTTCGTACTGTTGGGAAGGTTGAGAACCATTATTCTCAAAATCCCATTTGGCCATTTCGTTAAATATTACGTCTCTTGATATCAACAATTTCTTCGTCTCTGGAATTAGCAATTGATATCCCTTTGATTCATCACTGTAGCCGATGAATAAGTATTTAGCTCCTTTTTTATCGAACTTTTCTCTTTCCCGGGAAAGAACTAGAGAATAAGCTGGGCAACCAAAAACTTTGAAGTGATGAACAACAGGTTTCCTCTTATTCCATGCTTCGAAAGAAGTTTTGTCTTCTATTGCTTTGGTAGGATACCGATTGAGGATATAGACAGTTAGTTGTATTGATAGCTTCTGCCCACAAATTATTTCGAAGTCCTTTAGCTTTCAACATGCTCCGTGCCATTTCCACAATGGTTCGATTCTTTCTTTCAACAACGCCATTTTGTTGTGGACTGTGTCGAACTGTTAATTGTCTCATTATGTCATTCTCCTTGCAATAGCCCATGAATGGCTTGTAGATGAACTCACCTCCTCGATCTGTTCTCAAAGTTTTGATCTTTTTGCCACTTTGGTTTTTCTGCAAGAGCTTTAAATTGAAGAAAAGTATCAAAAGCCTCTGATTTTTCATTAAGGAAATTAATCCACATCATTCTTGTAAAATCGTCGACAAATAAAATGAAATATCTTTTGTTAGTGAGAGTTGGAGTTCTTGTAGGACCACACATGTCTGCATGTACCAACTCTAGTGGAAATTTAGCCCTCCACGAAGTTTTAGGGAAAGGAAGTCTATGGATTTTCCCATAGATGCAACATTCACATACCTTTCTATTATCTTCAATTATGGGTTGGCCAATCACCATATTTTTTTGTTTTAGTGTAAGAAGACCTTTGCAGTAAAGATAACCATACCTCAATCTCGGATGTTTCGTGGCATTCCTATCCCAAGTAAAACCCTAAACCCCCATCTCGGAGAATCTCCGTCTCGAAGAATCCATTTCGCACTCATCTATTTTTTCTGAAGATCATTCTTTCGCACTCATCTGTAAGCGTCAGATTCATCTCGGAGGCTGCAAGGTTAGTTTCTATCTTTTACAATGTAACGAAAGTTGCTATTCTTTGTTGTATTAGCATGACCGGCGCTATCTGAAGTGGCCTTATAGATTTAGGTTTAGTTTGACGTTGTGATTGTAGGAGAATAAAAAATCCAGAGATTGCTTCAATCTCGGATTCTATCTCGTATTCAATCCCGGACCACTGAGGTCCGGGATTGAATACTGATTGCATCCAAGATTGAAGCCTTCGA